TGTTGTAGTTGAAGTGAAGGGGAGAAGTTTTCTCTACAGCTAACTAGGACTTGCTCATATTTCAGAAAATCCCTTTAAGATTACTGCTGCAATGATAATTAACTAGACATGGTCTGTCTTCTATTGCTCTTTGAAAGGCCTGCCTAGATAATGCTTTAAATTTCTGCAGATAATGGCTTACCTTACTAAACTGTACTGTGAAATTTCAGGTCAAGCTGGGGAAAAGCGAACTGCTTTGTGTAGGAATGTTTTTAGTGTCTCTTTTAGTAGTGGAGGAGGTGCATAGAAATTGCATTCTGTGGAGAGAGTACTTAAAAATAATTAACTTTGGGCCGGGCGCGGTGGCTCAAGCCTGTAATCCCAGCACTTTGGGAGGCCGAGACGGGCGGATCACGAGGTCAGGAGATCGAGACCATCCTGGCTAACACGGTGAAACCCCGTCTCTACTAAAAATACAAAAAACTAGCCGGGCGAGGTGGCGGGCGCCTGTAGTCCCAGCTACTCCGGAGGCTGAGGCAGGAGAATGGCGCAAACCCGGGAGGTGGAGCTTGCAGTGAGCTGAGATCCGGCCACTGCACTCCAGCCCGGGCTACAGAGCAAGACTCCGTCTCAAAAAAAAAAAAAAAAAAAAATTAACTTTGGCTGGGCACGGTGGCTCACGCCTGTAATCCCAGCACTTTGGGAGGCCAAGGCGGGCGGATCATGAGGTCAGGAGATCGAGACCAACCTGGCTAACACGGTGAAACCCCGTCTCTACTAAAAATACAAAAAAATAGCCGGGCATGATGGCGGGTGCCTGTAGTCCCAGCTACTTGGGAGGCTGAGGCAGGAGAAGGGCAGTAAGCAGAGATCACGTCACTGCACTCCAGCCTGGGTGACAGAGCGAGACTCCAAAAAAAAAAAAAAAAAAAAAAAAACATTAAAAATAGTAATAATAATAAGTAACTTAAAGCTTGAGAGTTAAAACTTGTTTTCTTTAAAATGTGAAAGCTCATACTTTTATTAGTCATCAGAAAGATGCAAACTTATATCACAAGGTGGTACCAGAATGGTTAAATTGAAAAAAAGACAGTAAATACCAATGTAAGTGGAGCATTTAGAACTCACATACACTGGTGGGGAAATGTAAACTTGTACAATCACTCTCAAAACCTGTTATTAAATAACAATTAAATTAAAACTTAACAATTAAAACTTGTGAAATAAGCAAGTTTATAAGTTACTATTATATCATCCATGGTTATAATGTAGATCTGAAAAACTGTATGTATTATAATTAATTCCTTTATTTCTTAGGTCATTATCTAGCAGTGTACACACATACATACGCATACTTCTCCATCTTCTTCTTTTTGAACAGAAATAGGAGCATACTATATACATAGTATAGAATCTTGGTTTCCCTCCCCACTCTTCTTTATTTACTTATGAGATAATGTCTCATTCTGTCTCACAGGCTGGAATACAGTGGCATACTCATGGCTCACTGCAGCCTTGATTTCCCAGGCTCAAGTGATCCTCCTGCGTCAGCCTCCCAAGTTGCTGGAACCACAGACATGAGCCACCAAGTCCTGCCACTTTTTATTTGTTTATATTCAGAGGCTTTAATTTTTAGACCAATTTTAGGTTCCAGAAGAATTGAACAGGAAGTGTAGTTTCCTTATGTCCCCTCCACCCTACTCTACACATTTCTCTATTACTAACATCTTGTATTAGTGTGGTACATTTGTTACAATTATGTACCAATATTGATACATTATTAACTAAATTCCATAGAGTTTACTCTGTGTTGTATTTCCTGGGTTTTGATAAATGTATAATGTCATGTATCCATCATTATAGTATCATACAGAATAATTGTATGGTCCTAAAAATCTTCTGTGCTTCATTTTTATTCTTCCCTCCTTCTCCCAAAACTCCTGGCAGCCATTGATCTTTTTACTGTTACTGTACTTTAGGCTTTTCCAGAATATCATATAGTTGGAATCACATAGTATGTAGCTTTTTCAGACTGGCTTCTTTGACCTAGCAATATATATTTAAGGTTCCTCCTTTTTTTTTTTGGTGTCTTGACAGCTCACTTCTCTTTTATTGCTAAATAATATTCCATAGGCCAGGCGTGGTGGCTCATGCTTGTAATCCCAGCACTTTGGGAGGCCAAGGCAGGCAGATCACAAAGTCAGGAGATCGAGACCATCCTGGCTAACATGGTGAAACCCTGTCTCTACTAAAAAATACAAAAAAATTAGCTAGGCATGGTGCGGGTGCCTGTAGTCCCAGCTACTCGGGAGGCTGAGGCAGGAGAATGGCATGAACCCGGGAGGCGGAGCTTGCAGTGAGCCGAGATCGCGGCACTGCCCTCCAGCCTGGGTGACAGAGTGAGACTCCGTCTCAAAAATAATAATAATAATAATAATATTCCATTATATGTATGTACCACGGTTTGTTTATCCACTCACCTATTGAAGGACATCTTTATTGCTTCCATGTGTTGGCAATTGTGAAGCAAGCTGTTATAAGCATTCATGTCCAGGTTTTTGTGTGGAGAGAAGTGTTCTACTCATTTGGGTAAATCCCAAGGAAAGCAATTGCTGGGTCATATGGTAAGACTATGTTTAGCTTTGTAAGAAGCTGTCAAATTGTCCTCCAAAGTGACTGTATAATTTTGTGTTTCAACCAGCAGTGAATGAGAGTACCTGTTGTTTGCCATCCTCACCTGCATTTGATGTTGTCAGTATTTTGGATTTTAGGCATTCGTGTGTAGTGGTATCTCATTATTGTTTTAATTTGCAATTATCTGATGACATATGATGGCATCTGTTAATATGCCTCTTTGCCATCTGTGTATCTTCTTTGGTGAATTGTGTATTTGTTTATTTTGCCCATTTTTTAATTGGGTTATTTTCTTATTGCTGAATTTTAAGAGTTTTATGTATTTTGGATACAAGTTCATTATTATTTTGCAAATATTTTCTCCCAGTTTGTGGCTTGCTTTTCATTTGCTTAACGGTATTTCTCATGGAGCAGAAATTTTTAGTTTTAACGAAGTTCTACCCATCAATTTTTTCTTTTGTGAATTATACTTTTGGTGGTGTATCTAAAAACTCATTACCTAAGGCTATGTAGATTTTTTCCTATGTGATCGTCTAGAGGTTTTACAGTTTTGCATTTTATATTTAGGTCTATCATCCATCTTGAGGTAATTTTTGTGAAAGGGGTATGATCTGTGTCTAGATTTAGTTTTTTGTATGTTCCAGCACTATTTGTTGAAAAGACTATCTTTTTTTAAAAAATTTAATTGCCTCTGTTCCTTTGTCAAAAATCAGTTGATCATATTTGTGCAAGTCTATTTCTAGGTTCTTTATTCTGTTCCCTTGATCTATTTATCTATTCTTTCACCAATACCATACTATCTTGCTTATTGTTTAAAACATCTTGAAGTCAAGTAGTTTTGATCTTTATTCTTTTTCAAATTGTGTTGGCTATTCTGAGTCTATTGCCTCTCTATATAAACTTTCCAATCAATTGTCAATATCTACAAAACTATTTCCTAGGATTTTTTTAAATTCACAGATTAAATTGTATGTATATATTGTGTACAGCATGATGCTTTGAGGTATAAATACGTTGTAAAATGACTAAATTTGGCTAATTTACGTATGTGTGTTACCTCACATAATTATCAATTTTTAATTTACTGGAATTTTGATAGGGATTGTATTGACTCATTACATAAAGCTTGGAAGAACTGACATCTTGACAATATTGAGTCTTCCTATCGATGAACATGGAGTATCTCTCCATTTATTTAGATCTTTGATTTCTTTTATGAATTTGCTTTTTTCATTTGACAATTTATCTTGGACATCATTCCATTTCAGCACATATAGATAGATCTACCTCATCAATTTCTTTTTTTTTTTTTTGAGACAGAGTTTTGCTCTTGTTGTCCAGGCTAGAGTACAATGGCGCAATCTCGGCTCACCACAACCTCCGCCTCCCAGGTTCAAGTGATTTTCCTGCCTCAGCCTCCCGAGTAGCTGGTATTACAGGCATGTGCCACCACGCCTGGCTAATTTTGTATTTTCTGTAGAGACGGGGTTTCTCCATGTTGGTCAGGCTTGTCTCGAACTCCTGACCTTGTGATCTGCCTACCTCGGCCTCCCAAAGTGCTGGGATTACAGGTGTGAGCCACCGTGCCCGGCCAGACCTCATCATTTTTAACAGATGAATAATATTTTATTGTGGGTTGGTACAAAAATTTTCTTAGCCATTCCCTTATAGGTGGATGTTTAGGTTGTTTGCAATCTTTTTCTTCCACGAACAGTGCCGCAGTGAAATTCTCATGTAATTTATATTTATGCACACATGTGAGTATATCTTAGGATAAATTCCTAGGAATAAAATTGTACAATCAAAAGCATATACAATTTCAATTTTGGTGGCTTTTGCCAATTTTTCCTCCAAAGAAGTCATATAAGTTTACACTCCCAGAACAGTACTTGGGACTATTTCTTTCTGATAGCCTCACCAATATAGCAGTTACCAATTCTTATAAAGTTGGTATATGATCTACAATAAAAACTTACAAATGGGCCAGGAACGGTGGCTCATGCCTGTAATCCCAGCACTTTGGGAGGCTGAGGCGGGTGGATCACGAGGTCAGGAGTTCAAGACCAGCCTGGCCAACATGGTGAAACCCCGTGTCTACTAAAAATACAAAAATTAGCCGGGCATGGTGGCATGTGCCTGTAGTCCTAGCTACTCAGGAGGTTGAGGCAGGAGAATTGCTTGAACCTGGGAGGCAGAGTTTGCAGTGAGCTGAGATTACGGCGCTGCACTCCAGCCTGGGTGACAGAGCAAGACTGTCTCGAAAAAAACAAAACAAAACTTACAAATGATACCACTTGTTTCTTTAGCCTTCTTTAAACATATTTTTAAGAATATATTTATATATTTCTACATGAAAAAGTGATTTGTTTTTCCCTGATCTGTTTCAGACCTGTGGATATCTGGGCTTTGGGCTGTATGATCATTGAGATGGCCACTGGAAATCCCTATCTTCCTAGTAGCTCTGATTTGGATTTACTCCATAAAATTGTTTTGAAAGTGGGTAGGTATTACTGAAATAGCATGAGTTACATGTCTAAAATAAATATTGCCAGATCAATTCTGCTTGATTTTCAAATTTAGCTATTCTGTGTAAGAACAGGGAAGCATATTGTTTTGATAGATGACAGCAGATGGGTTCCTTGGGCTGATAAAGAAGGCAGAAAATTATCTGTTTTTGCAAATAATATTTTCTTTGCTAGGATATAAATAGCTAAGCCATGTGTTGATTGTTGATGCTAAGAAGAATAGTACAATAGGAATGTACTTTAATTTGTCTAAAAGTTGTTTTTAAATTAGGCTTTTTCAAATATTTGTACCTCTATATAAGGACTTCAAATAGTAGAGTTGAGTCAGATGCTTTTTTAAAGCACTGGGAAATAGAAAATTAATTATTTACTCAGAAACCACCCTTCTTTTTAAAGAAAACAATAATAGACAGCCAGATAGCTAAATAACTTATTCAAGAACATATTTGATGAAGGCTGGGCATGGTGGCTCATGCCTGTAATACCAGCACTTTGGGACGGCCAAGGCAGGCAGAGCACCTGAGATCAGGAGTTGGAGACCAACCTGACCAACATAGTGAAACCGCATCTCTACTAAAAATACAAAAAAAAAAAAAAATTAGCCAGGTGTGGTGGCAAGCGCCTGAAATCCCAGTTACTCAGGAGGTTGAGGTATGAGAATCGCTTGAACCCAGGAGGCAGAGGTTGCAGTGAGCTGAGATCACGCCACTGCACTCCAGCCTAGGCAACAGAATGAGACTTTGTCTCAGAGAAAAAAAAAAAAAGAATATATTTGATGAGAGTTTATTTGATGATCTGCTTTGGCCACCAGAACATTATGATGGTTAGCCTTGAATGTGCTATTTCAAGGTTTGTGGGTTTTTTTAATTTTAAATTTTAATTTTTTTGAGACAAGGTCTCACTTTGTCACCTGGGCTGGAGTGCAGTGGTGCAAGCATGGCTCACTGTAGCCTCGACTTCCTGGGCTCAGGTGATTCTCCCACCTCAGCCTCCCAAGTAGCTGGGGCTACAGGCATGTGCCATCATGCCCGGCTAATTTTTGCATTTTTAGTGCAGCCAGGGTTTTGCCATGTTGCCCGCCTTGACCTCCCAAAGTGCTGGGATTACAGGCGTGAGCCACCGTGCCTGGCTAAGATTTATTTTTTACTATTCCTGACTGAGAAGCTTGAGGAGCTCTTTGTGTGGTGGGGAAGGTATGCATAAATTTGTAATTACAGGATTATGAGGAAGATACTATGAACAATTCTAAAAACAGTGAAACCTGGATAATTATTGATTTAAGATATAGTTTAGAGCCTTAAGACACCTCACTTTTTTGTGTCTTTTAAGAAGTTCTGGTTAAGAGATTAATATCAGAAGGAACCTTAGATGGTGGGGTTTAATCCTATCATTTCACAGATGAGAAAACCAAGCACAAAAAGGAAGGGATTTACCCAAGGTCACAGAACTAGTTATAGCAAAACTGCTAGAACTTAGTTCCCTCCACTCATATTTATAGTTCTTTCCGTTCTGCTACTACTCTAGCCTTGTTTCTTTTTTTGCAATATTTTGATTTCTACATACCTTTAATATTTTAGCTACTTTGAGTAAGGTTTCAATGTATTTTGCTGAGGAACACTTAATAGTAAAATCATTTGGATACCACATGGAAATGCATAAAAGTTGGAATGTGCATTTTCTGACAGCATTACATATTATGTCTTATAGTTTGGGAAAAGCAAGTAAACCTGGTGGTTTTAGATCTTATGTTGCCTGTGGGCTATCAGCAGATAACTGAGGAAACCTCAATTTTTTATGACATGTTCAGATAGTTTTTATTCAACTTCAAAAAATTAAAAGACATAATTGATATTCTTCCTTATATCAGTTTTTAGTATCTAATGTAGATCACATAGCAATTTGATTATTTTGATTATAGACTAATTTCTCTGTTTTTAAAATATACATTTTTTTTCTCTTTTCAGGCAATTTGTCACCTCACTTGCAGAATATCTTTTCCAAGAGCCCCATTTTTGCTGGGGTAGTTCTTCCTCAAGTTCAACACCCCAAAAATGCAAGAAAAAAATATCCAAACCTTAATGGATTGTTGGCAGATATAGTTCATGTATGTCTTTTTTTCCCCCGAGACAGAGTCTTGCTCTGTCACCCAGGCTGGAGTGCATTGGAGCAATGTCAGCTCACTGCAACCTCCGCCTCCCAGGTTCAAAAGATTCTCCTGCCTCAGCCTCCCAAGTTGTTGGGGTTACAGGCGCCTGCCACTGTGCCCTGCTAACTTTTGTATTTTTAGTAGAGATGGGGTTTCACCATGTTGGCCATGGTTGGCCAGGCTGATCTGGAACTCCTGAGCTTAGGTGATCTGCCCACCTCGGCCTCCCAAAATGCTGAGATTACAGGCGTGAGTCACCGCGCCCAGCCAGTTCATGTATGTTGAGAAATTAAGAATTTATATCTGAGAAATTTGCATAAATTATAATACAGTTTTAAATTATCACTTTAATGAAATTCCAAAAGGATTCCTAAAGTAATGTAATCTGTAGAAAGTTATGTCTTTAGTACAGAGAAATTAAAATTCATAGACTGTCAGAGCTGAACGCCCCCTAAGATAACTATGTTCATTATATTTAATTTATCTCTATTTTAATGATAATTAGGTATAAACTGGAGAAATGGGCCAGGCACGGTGGCTCACGGTGTAATCCCAACACTTTGGGAGGCCGAGGCCAGCAGATCACGAGGTCAGGAGATCGAGACCATACTGGCTAACATGGTGAAACCCCGTCTCTACTAAAAATACAAAATAATTAGCCGGGCATGGTGGCATACACCTGTAGTCCCAGCTACCCGGGAGGCTGAAGCAGGAGAATCACTTGAACCTTAGAGGCCAAGGTTGCAGTGAGCCAAGATCAGGCCACTGCACTCCAGCCTGGATGACAGAGAGAGACTCTGTCTCAAAAAAAAAAAAAAACTGGAGAAATTCTAAGGACTTACTATGTTTATCACTACCTTTTAACATTTAGTTTAGCCCTGTTAGGGACATATTTTTTGTACTAAAATATCTACAGGACCTCAGCAGCTATAGTTTTAATGTCTGAAGATACACCAAGGCCAAAATCTGTCTTGAACTGGAGAAAATGAAAACATTATATAACTCCTTTTTATTATTTTAAAATTTAATTTTTTATTTATTATTTTTATTTTTGTTTTTGTTTTTTTTGAGATGGAGTTTTGCTCTTGTTGCCCAGGCTGGAGTGCAATGCTGCGATCTCAGCTTACCACACCCTCTGCCTCCCGGGTGTGGCATGAGGCATGCCTTGGCAACATAGTAAGACCCTATCTCTAATCAAAAGCGTAGGGTGTCATGGTACCCACTTGTAGTCCTAGCTATTTGGGAGGCTGAGGCAGGAGGATCCTTTGAACCCGGGAATTTGAGACTGCAGTAATTTAAGCTTGCAGCACCGCACTCTAGCCTGAGTGACAGAGCAAGACCCTGTATAAAAAAAGAAAAAAAGAATCCTTGACCTGTGTGTCAACTAAAATATTTCTCTTATTGATTTGTGAAAAAAGCACATTAATCTTTTGTCATAAGTTTTGCAATACGTTTGCAAAACTTGCAATATGCTTTTTTTTTTTAAACAACTAGAATCATCCAATGATTTGGAATGCTACATTTATCATAGACAAAAAGCTTATACATGTGTGAGTTTGTTTCTGTTACATTGATTTTTCTCTTTATTCTAGAAGTAGTACAACTTTGATTTATTATTGTAACTTTAAAATACACCTTGATATCTGATGTAGGGCACTTTTTTTCCTAGATATAAATTTTCTAAACAATGTTATTGGGGTATAATTTATGAACAGTAAACTACACATACTTAAAATGTACAATTTGAAGAGTTTTGATACATGTATACACACATGAAACCACCACCACAGTCAAGATATCTAACACACACACACACACACACACACACACACACGATACCTAACATTTCCATCACTCTCCAAAATTTCATTGTGTCCTTTTACAATTCATCTTTTCTTCCATTTCTGTCCCCAGATAACCACTGATTTGCTTTCTCTTCCCATAGATTAGTTTGAATTTCCTAGAATCTTATATAAATAGAATCGTACAGTAGGCACTCTTTCATGTCTGGCTTCTTCCACTCAGCATAATGGTTTAGAGATTCATTCATGTTTTTGTATGTATCAGCAATTTGTTCCTCTTTTGCAGAGTAGTAGTTCATTATATGACTATACTACATTTTAAAAAATCCCTTCACTGTTGTTGGACATTTGGGTTATTTCCCATTTTTCGCTATTACAAATAAAGTTGCCATGAGACCATTCATGTTCGTCTTTGTGTGGAACACACAGTGTATTTTCATTCCTCCAGCAGAAATATCTGAGAACAGAATGGCTGGGTCATGGGTAGGCATATGTTTAATTTTTTAAGAAACTGCCAATCTGTTTCCCCAAGTGTCATATTTTACACTTTCCAAAGTAGGGCATATATTTAAATTTACTGAATTATATTTGCAGAAGGACTGCCTCTAATTGTCTGCCTCTATGATTTGGTTAGACCTTTTAGCATTTTTCATATTAAGTTTTAGTGATAGATTACCATTACGTTCTAAAATGAGCACATATTTTTAACTATTTTTGTTTGTTTTGTTTTGATTTTGAGATGGAGCTTTGCTCTTGTTGTCCAGTCTGGAGTGCAATGGCACGATCTTGGCTCACCACAACCTCCTGCCTCCTAGGTTCAAGTGATTTTCCCGCCTTAGCCTCCCGAGTAGCTGGGATTACAGGCATGTGCCACCACGCCCGGCTAATTTTGTATTTTTTTTTAGTGGAGATGGGGTTTCTCCGTGTGGTCAAGCTGGTCTCTAACTCCCAACCTCAGGTGATCCACCCCCCTTGGCCTCCCAAAGTGCTGGAATTATAGGCATGAGCCACCACGCCTAGCCAACTAGTTGCAGTCTTAAAGACTGCCACATCATTAAGTAGGTAATAGACTTAAATAATTTCTCTTTGTGAATCAATGTTTTTTATTTTGGTTAAAAAAAAACCCCACATAATATGGAATCTACCTTCTTACAAAATTATTAAGTGTACAGTATGGCATTTTTAACTATATGCACATTATAGTACAGCAGATCTCTAGATTTTTTTCTGTGAATCAGTTTAAATATGCATTTCGAAATAGAAACACAGTATTATATACAATTATCTTGGATTTGTTGGATTTTAATTGTGGCTCCTCTCCTTATGAGATCTTAGACAAATTACGTGATCTCTCTGGGCCTCAGTCTCCTCATCTGTATAATGAGGATAATAATAATATTTACTTTGTAGGATTGTTGTTGGGATGGAATGGAGAAAAAGACTGGAGCATTGTCTGGTATGTAGTAAGCATCAATAAAAGTTACTAGTCAGGCATGGTGGCATGTGTCTGTAGTCTGAGCTACTCAAGAGGCTAAGGAAGGAGGATATCTTGAGCCAAAGAGTTCAAGGCTCCAGTGAGCTATAATTGCACCACTGCACTCCAGCCTGGGCGACTGAGTAAAAGCCTGTCTCTAAAAAATTTTTAAAAACCAAACATGGTGGCTCTCTTCCGTAATTCCAGCAGTTTAGGAGACTAAGGCAGGAGAATCACTTAAACTCAAGAGTTCATCAGCCTCACAACATAAGAAGACTCCTATCTCTACAAAAAGAAGTTAACTATTATTGTTTTACCTCCTTTCACAGGAAGAATGAAAATTATAAAGCAGATGCTTTTTATTCAAAACTTGTCTTCAATATTTTGATTAAAGAAATGTGTTCCATTTATAATTATTGTTATTTAACTACATACAGATTTGTTATGTACAACTTAACATTCAAAAACTTCCTTCCATATTTTGTTTGTTTGTTTCTATACCAAGAAAGGGAAACAGAAAAGAGCTGATTTAATAATGGGTTATTGAAAGATTTAGGGACTTGAATATTTGCAAAATGGTATTATGCTATAGAAAGAGTGCTGGATTAGGAGTCAAGACAACATTGGTTAAAACTCTTGTTTGGCAAACTACTAATCATGCTTCCAGATCTGTAAAATGCAAATGATTATACATGAACTTTCCACCTCGCAGGGCAGAAAAGAGGATCAAAATGAGCTAATTAATTTTTGCTAATTTCAGCAGAAACAGACTGACCTCTGTTTTGGCTAGAATCATGGGACATTTAACCTATAATAATGTTGTGCAAGTGCAAATTCCTTAAGGAAATAAACAGTCAGAACTTACTACCAGAAATTCCTGAGGTCTAATTCCATCTTTTCAAGAATGCTTTTTGATCTGGATAATTAATTAATTCTTAATTTGTAAAATAAATTTAATTTTTACCATATGGAGCCCTGTTGAGAGCTCACTTATCATTACAATCTTTTTCCTTTCCTAGGCTTGTTTACAAATTGATCCTGCTGACAGGATATCATCTAGTGATCTTTTGCATCATGAGTATTTTACTAGAGATGGATTTATTGAAAAGTAAGCATTTTGAGTGAATGTGGATTTTTAAAAAGCATTTTGTATTGGGAAATTTTGCTAGCAGGAAAACTGCTGTATAGGTTACTTTTACATAACAAATATTCAGTTTAACAAAAATTTATTGAGTTATTGTGTCAGGTATTGACTAGAAAGATAGTAGACTTAACAAGTGTCATGAATGAAAAGCCTAATAATAGGATGCGCACAGTGGCTCACACCTGTAATCCCAGCACTTTGGGAAGCTGAGGCAAGCAGATTGCTTGAGCCCTGCGGTTCACGACTGGCCTGGGCAACATAAGGAGACCCCTGTCTCTACAAAAAATACAAAAATTAGCAAGGTGTGGTGGCACACGCTTGTAGTCCCAGCTACTCGGGAGGCTCAGGTGGGAAGATGGCTTAAACCCTGGAGATAGAGGTTGCAGTGAGCTGAGATTGCACCACTGCGCTCCAGCCTGGGTGACAGGTTGAGATCCTATCTCAAAAAAAGAAAAAGAAAAAGAAAGTCTAATAATAAAAAGTAATTGCAGCTAACATTCATTACACAGTTACTATGTCCTAGGCAGTGTGCTCAGCTCTTTACATACTACAGTTTCAGTGTTATCATAGACCAGAGATAACATTAAATAAGCAATCAGTACTTCTTAGCTTTATTCCTGTTTGGACCCCTGACTCAGAGAATAGTCTGGTTTTTCCTCTTCTGGTGACATTCATTTATCATAATTAGCATGCACTTCCCAAATGATTTTTTTTTTTTTTTTTTTTGAGACAGAGTCTCGCTGTGTGGCCCAGGCTGGAGTGCAGTGGCACAATCGCGGCTCACTGCAAGCTCCGCCTCCCAGGTTCACGCCATTCTCCTGCCTCAGCCTCCCGAGTAGCTGGGACTATAGGCACCCGCTGCCACCACGCCTGGCTAATTTTTTGTATTTTTAGTAGAGATGGGGTTTCACCATGTTAGCCAGGATGGTCTCGATCTCCTGACCTCGTGAACCACCCGCCTTGGCCTCCCAAAGTGCTGGGATTATAGGCTTAAGCCACTGCGCCCAGCCCGAATGATTTTTTTCTACTTATTCTCTGTTGTAGTGCCTGTTGTCTTTTTTTTTTTTTTTTTTTTTTGAGACGAAGTCTCACTCTATTGCCCAGGCTGGAGTACAGTGGCACAATCTCAGCTCACTACAAACCTCCATCTCCCAAGTTCAAACAGTTCTCCTGCCTCCGCCTCCAGAGCAGCTAGGATTAGAGGCACATACCACCACACCCAGCTAATTTTTTGTATTTTTAGTAGAGACGGGGGTTTTACCATTTTGGCCAGGCTGGTCTCGAACTCCTGACCTCAGGTGATCCACCTGCCTTGGCCTCCCAAAGTGCTGGGATTACGGCCCTTCTGTGCCCCACATTGCTTATGACATGCCCAGCATATAATCTGTATTACAATTTAGATTCATGAATCAGCCATATTTCTAAAAAAACACTATTTTCTATTTGGACTTTGAAAAAAAACAGGAAAAGTTTCTCATTAACTGTAAAACCATTGAGCTTGTCTTTGGACATATTAGAAAGATGGACATCCGTTAAAAATGTGATGGAGCTAAGGTCAGATATAGAAAAGTCCAGGAACTGCTATTGGAGATAGACTAAGTAGAAAAAAGCAAAAGACTCCTTGAGGGCAACTAGAACTTCGAGCCTTTCAGGAGTTTTACTCTAAAACAAAAAATAAGATGATATATTTAAAGTGCCATTGGCGAGGCGTGGTGGCTCATGCTGTAATCCCAGCATTTTGGGAGGCCAAGGTGGGCAGATCAACTGAAGTCAGGAGTTCAAGACCAACCTGGTCAAGATGGTGAAACACCATCTCTACTAAAAATGCAAAAACTTAGGTGGGCGTGGGCATGCGCCTGTAGTCCCAGCTACTCAGGAGGCTGGGACAGGAGAATCATTTGAACCCAGGAGGCTGAGGCTGCAGTGAGCCGAGATCGCGCCACTGCACTCCAGTCTGGGTGACAGAGCGAGACTCTGTCTCAAAACATAAAAGAATAGGCCGGGCGCGGTGGCTCATGCCTGTAATCCCAGCACTTTGGAAGGCCGAGGCGGGCAGATCACAAAGTCAGGAGATCAAGACCGTCCTGACTAATGCGGTGAAACCCTGTCTCTACTAAAAATACAAAAACAAAATTCGCCAGGTGTGGTGGCAGGCACCCTGTAGTCCCAGCTACTCAGGAGGCTGAGGCAGGAGAATGGCATGAACCAGGGAGGCGGAGCTTGCAGTGAGCGGAGATCATGCCACTGCACTCCAGCCTGGGCGACAGAGCAAGACTCTGTCTCAAAAATATAAAAAATAAAAGAATAAAAAATTAAAAAATGAAGTGCCATTGATAAAAAGTAGCAGTTATCAGCCGGGCATGGTAGCTCATGCCTGTAATCCCAGCACTTTGGAAGGCTGAAGCAGGCAGATTGCTTGAACCTAGGAGTTCGAGACCAGCCTGGGCAACATGGCAAAACCCTGTCTCTACAAAAAATGCAAAAATTTTCTGGGTGTGTTGGTGTATACCTGTAATCCCAGCTACTAGGGAGGCTGAGGTAGGGGATTGCTTGAGCCCAGGAGGTCAAGGTTGCAGTGAGCCATGAGTGTGTCACTGTACTGCAGCCTGGGCAACAGAAACACTGTCTCAAAAAAAAAAGATGTCAGTTATTGAATTAAAAAGTTACTTCGTATCAGTTCTACACAGACTAAGTTTATTTTTCTTGGACATTTAGATATCAGGCTTTTACTTTTGTGGGGTGAAAGTACCTTGAGTTCAATTTATAGAATCCTTAGAAAATATTTGGATAAGTCCTTTTCCTTTGATAAGATGCCTCTTTATTTCATGTACCTTCTGCAGTTCAAGGGTGATTTAACAGGAGTATGACGTTTTCTCATCTAGCCAAACTAATCACACTGATTCTTTTTTTTTTTTTTTCCATCACACTGCTTGTCATCAGGCCTGTGCCCTGCACAGCACTAGCAAGAGTTTGCTGGACTAGGGAAGAATTCATTCATGGGCTGATATTTTAAAACCTTCCCAAATTGATAGCTGTAGCTGCTTCAAGGAAGGGACTTGTGCAGTTCAGGGAAGGGGTGGGAAGGAAATTTTTCAGTATAGACTTTTGAACTTTGAACCACATGAATGGACTTTCTAATCAAAAATAACTTTTAAAAAGAAAGAAATCAAACTAAAACCAAAATAATCTCTCTCCAATATGAATGTATTCTGTTACATTTCTCTAGAGTAAGATTTTAGAAGCTAGTTAGTCCATTTTTAAAGTTCTATTACTTTAAAGAACCACAGCCGAGTGCGGTGGCTCACGCTTGTAATTCCAGCAACTTTGGGAAGCTGAGGCAGGCGGATCACCTGAGGCTGAGAGTTAGAGACCAGCCTGACCAACATGGAGAAAAACACAAAATTAGCCGGGCATGGTGGCACATGCCTGTAATCCCAGCTACTCAGGAGGCTAAGGCAGGAAAATCGCTTGAACCCAGGAGGCAGCGGTTGTGGTGAGACGAGATCACGCCATTGCACTCCAGCCTGGGCAACAAGAGCAAAACTCCATCTCAAAAAAAAAAAAAAGAGAACCACAGAAAAGGTCAAAGTGGTCTGAGTCTTCCTTAAAAATAATAGTATTTTTATCAAAATTAAAAGCAGTATTTTTCTGAGTTGAGTTTGCATCACAAAAGGAATCTAATTAGTATAAATCTATTTTGTAAAAGTTTTATATAGTAGGTTCCCATAGCATAATTTTCGAAAGATGTAGCTTTACCAGAAAGCAATTTTTATTAGGTAAATTGGGCCATCTCTTGGCATGCATTGTAATTAGATAGCATTATTTATACTGTAGCTGAAATACAAATTAATTGATGAAATGGTTTATTCAAGATAAAATACTTTATCTGCATATATAAAAAGATTACTCGTTGATATTGCTTGTTTTATCAGATTCATGCCAGAACTGAAAGCTAAATTACTGCAGGAAGCAAAAGTCAATTCATTAATAAAGCCAAAAGAGAGTTCTAAAGAAAATGAACTCAGGAAAGATGAAAGAAAAACAGTTTATACCAATACACTGCTAAGTAGTTCAGTTTTGGGAAAGGTAAGAACTTTGGCTTTTGTTTCAGCCAGTATAATTATAGTTAGACTCTAATGACAAAAATAACTGTTATGACTCGGATTTTGAATATATATATTCCAGGAAATAGAAAAAGAGAAAAAGCCCAAGGAGATCAAAGTCAGAGTTATTAAAGTCAAAGGAGGAAGAGGAGATATCTCAGAACCAAAAAAGAAAGAGTATGAAGGTGGACTTTGTCAACAGGATGCAAATGAAAATGTTCATCCTATGTCTCCAGATACAAAACTTGTAACCATTGAACCGCCAAACCCTATCAATCCCAGCACTAACTGTAATGGCTTGAAAGAAAATCCACATTGCGGAGGTTCTATGACAATGCCACCCATCAATCTAACTAACAGTAATTTGATGGCTGCAAATCTCAATTCAAATCTCTTTCACCCCAGTGTGAGGTGAGCTGTAACAGAGAAGAAACCTAAATAATACAATATTCCTGTATAATGGTATTTCGAAGACTCATGTTCATAGTGTCTGTATGTAAACTGAACTTGAAGAAAATATGTTGAAATTAAAGTTGTATAATGGGCCATTTACTGAGTGTTTCTTACAAATGCTGTAGAAGAAATTAACTTTTCTTGGCCATATAGATGTTTAAATTTTCACTAATGTCTTTTGGAGAAACCTCATTTAAAGAAAAAAAAAGACCCTTTGAAAATGTTTTTATTTTTGAAGAAAAAAAACGTTGATATGCCCTAAGTTCTGGTATCAGTGTGCCTTGGTATAACAAAATAAGCTTTATTTCTATATCATAGCAAATTCTCTAAGTGGAGAAAGGATAGTAAAAAATAATCTTTCGTAAGTCAAATAGCCTTTCAAGGTGAAATATTTTGGGAGAAAAATAGCATATTAGGCCAGTTTTAGATTTAACCTCTGATACAGACTGAGAGACTGGCCCATGAGTCTGGTTAATCAAGGGCAGTGTGATGGATGGTGAGAGTCTGTCCAACAAGGCAGTAGGGCCACTTCAAAATTTAGGGAGACTACTGTCATTCTAGGGGAGAAGGAGACTGGATTCATTAGCCCAAGAGGATTCTAGCAGACTGGTTTGGGCTACAGGTTTTGAAGCCCAGTGGTCTGCAGAGGTGAGCAAGTGGACATGTCCATATCAGTCCAAAGGTACAGCAGGCTACAGACTGCAAGAGCCCAGTTGTTCTTGAGGTGATCCCAAAACCATATACTAGTAACAATGGTTGTAAGCCAGTCAGTCTTGGACAGTAAGCTCATAAATTGAGAAAGCTGGTAGTGAAGAGATCCAAATTCAGAACAGATAGAAGGGAGCAAGTAGGCCAGCAGGAGTAACCCCACAACATGCCTGTCACCACTGATATTAACATGCACTAATTATTCTCTGCCCTGTTACCACCTCTCTCTTTAGGGTAATTGGTAGGTAAGGACTCTATTGCATTTTGGTACTCAGTGTTCAAAAAATAGACTTCCATGCCATAATTTATTCATTCTTGAAGCTAAAACAAAGCCATTTTGCCTGGGCATGGTGACTCGTGCCTGTAATGCCAGCAATTTGGGAGGCCAAGGCGGGTGTATCAGTTTAGCTCAGGAGTTCGAGACCAGCCTGGCCAACATGGCAAAACCCTGTCTCTACAAAAAATAGAAAAATTAGTTGGCCATGTTGGAACGCACCAGTAATCCCAGCTACTTGGGAGGCTGAGGCAAGAGAATCACTTGAACCCAGGAGACAGAGATTGCAGTGAGCCAAGATCATGACACTGCACTCTAGCCTGGGTGACAGAGTGAGATTCTGCCCCCACCAAAAAAAGAAAAAAAGGCATTTCTGGGGAGTTCTAATAACTTCTCATTCATTTTTAAATAATAGGTTAACTGAAAGAGCAAAAAAGAGACGCACTTCTTCACAATCTATTGGACAAGTTATGCCTAATAGCAGGCAAGAGGATCCAGGTCCTATTCAAGTAAGGCAAGAAGCCACGCATTAAAATATGGCCTCTTTTAACATTACTTCTGTTTTCTTTTTCTGTATCTTTAGGGCTCTAATACTTTTTTGTTTGTCTGTTTGTTTTGTTTTTTTGAGACAGAATCTCTCTCTGTTGCCCAGACTGGAGTGTAGTGGTACGATCTCAGCTCACTGCCGCCTCGACCTCCTGGGCTCAAGCAATCCTCCCACTTCAGCCTCCCAAGTAGCTGAGACTTCAGGCACATGCCACCATGCCCAGCTAATTTTGTTCATTTTTTGTAGCAACTAAGTCTCACTATGTTGCCCAGGTTGGTCTCAAACTCCTGGGCTCAAGGGATCCTCCCCCTTCTCAGCCTCCTAAAGTACTAGGATTACAGTTGTGAGCCAATGCACCCAGCCTCTCACACTTTTAAAAATGTACTTTAAGTTTCTTTTTTTTTTCCTGAGATGAAAATAGGCCATTATTTTCTAAGTGCTTTCACAATTAATTAAGTTCATATATCTTAATTTATCACAGTTAATTAAGTTCATATATCTTAATTTATGTATTTAATATGTGACTTAGGCAGAGTAAGTTAGGATTTCCACCTTTGAAAGTCAGAAGTAGTTTTGTTTTTTTTCACTTCCAAAAAATGTTTTTAATATCTTTATGGATTAAAAACAATCGCCAAATAAACACAATTTATTTTCACTAGAAAAAATAATCAATGTAGTTCATCCCCCTCCCAACTTTTGTTTTGTTTTGTTTTTGGCCTATTTTGCATTATTCATCTCTAATGGGACCTCACAACTTTTTACATAGGAAGGTGATTTATTCAAAATTGAAGCAAAATGTTAATTATAATAACAAAAAACTGAAAACAGTACAAACTTGTCCAAGAGCCGGTGACTAAGTACATTAGTGTACATTCATACAGTGGAATACTACACATTACATTGTGGAAGAGTGTTCATTGACCTAGACAGGATTTTATGATCTGTTTTCAAATGAACAAAAATCTGGTAACACAGAACGTTTCCCAGATGCTGGATGTGCAATTAATTTTTTTTCCTTTGGGTTTTCCCAGTGTTCACAAAGCATATCATTTTGTAGGTAGATAAGTAAGTTATTAAGAAAATGAACTGAAGCAATTTGCTCAAAGTCAGAGTGCAGTGAATAGTATTAAAAATGAAAAGTTAAGTTTATGGTTCTGGCCAGGCACAGTGGCATTTTGGAAGACTGAGCTGGGAGGATTGCTTGAGCCCAGGAATTTGAGTTCAGCCTGGGCAACATAGTGAGACCCTGTCTCTATAAAAAATGAAATAAAATAAATTAGTTGTGTGTGGTGGCGTGTGGCTGTGGTTTCAGACTGGGTGGGCTGAGGTGGGACTATGGCTTGAGCCCAAGAGGTTGAGGCTGCAGCCATAACGGCACTGCTGTATTTCAGCCTGGGCAACAAAGCAAGACTCTATCTCAATGATGATAATAATAATAATAAGGCCAGGTGCAGTGGCTCATGCTTGTAATCCCGGCACTTTGGGAGCCCAAAGCAGAAGGATTGCTTGAGCACAGGAGTTTGAGATCAGCCTAGTTTGAGATCAGCCTAACAAGACCCCATCTCTACAAAAAATTTAAAAATTAATCAGGCGTGGTGTTGTGTGCCTGTAGTCCCAGCTACTTGGGAGACTGAGGTGGGAAGATCACTTGAGCCCAGGGGGTTGATGCTGCAATGAGTCATGATCATGCCAATGCACTCCAGCTGGGTGACAGAGCAAGACCCTGTTTCAAAATAATAATATTGTTATTATTGTTATTATTGTGGTTCTCATGATCAAGACTGTTATGCTCAGAATATTAAATATGCTAAAAATGTTTGCTTTATGAAACTTGTTGGAGTTTGATCTGTTGATATGTTCAATAGTATTCTAAATCTTCTTAATTATTAAATTAATTGTTATGTCTATCTTATACCATCCAAATGGCTAGCAATTCTAGGATTGTCATTCTACAGATAGTTAGACACATTTCTTCAAACTAACTCTTGTTTGTTTGTTTAGAGCCAAATGGAGAAGGGTATATTTAATGAGCGAACAGGTCACAGTGACCAAATGTCTAATGAGAACAAAAGGAAGCTGAATTTTTCCAGATCTGACAGGAAAGAATTCCATTTTCCAGAATTGCCTGTCACAATACAGCCAAAAGATACGAAAGGAATGGAAGGTACACATTTGTTGTATAGCTTTACAATTATGATGATATCATTTATAAGATTTTTTCATAATATAACTTACATTTTAGTGTGATTTAGGTAGAAAACAGTGCATTGGTAAGGAAAACATTTCAGCTGATGAGATTTTCTGCCCATTGTCAAATAAGGGGTACAATTTTAAGGAGATAATTTTAAAGAGGCGTAAGCTTGTAATCCCAGCATTTTGGGAGGCCAGTGCAGGAGGATTGCTTGAGCCTAGGAGTTTGAGACCAGCCTGAGCAACATAGCAAAACTCTGTCTCTACAAAAAATAAACTAGCTTGGTGTGGTGGTGTGTGCCTGTAGTCCCAGCTACTTGGGAGGCTGAGTTAGGAGGACTGCTTGACCCAGGAGGTTGAGACTGCAGTGAGCTGTGGTCACGCCACTATACTCCACTCTAGGATGACACATAATGAGACCGTGTCTCTAAAAAAAAAAAATTAATTAAAAAGAAAAAGAGAGGTTAAGACAGCTTTAAAGGGTAAATTTTTAATTTTTTTTATTTATTTACTTATTTTTATTATACTTTAAGTTCTAGGGTACATGTGCACAACATGCAGGTTTGTTACATATGTATACATGTGCCATGTTGGTATGCTGCACCCATTAACTTGTCATTCACATTAAGTATATCTCCTAATGCTATCCCTCCCCCCTTGCCGCTCCGCCCTCCCCACAATAGGCCCCAGTGTGTGATATTCCCCTTCCTGTGTCCAAGTGATCTCATTGTTCAATTCCCACCTATGAGTGAGAGCATGCGGTGTTTGGTTTTCTGTTCTTGCCATAGTTTGCTGAGAATGATGGTTTCCAACTGCATCCATGTCCCTACAAAGGACATGAACTCATCCTTTTTTATGGCTGCATAGTATTCCATGGTGTATATGTGCCACAATTTTCCTCAATCCAGTCTGTCACTAATGGACATTTGAGTTGATTCCCAAGTCTTTGCTATTGTGAAATAGATGGCTGCGTAAACATACTTGTGCTGTGTCTTTATAGCAGCATGATTTAATCCCTTTGGTGTTATATACCAGTAAATGAGGGATGGCCTGGTCAAATGGTATTTCTAGTTCTAGTCTATGAGGTAATCGCCCACACTGTTTTTCCACAATTGGTTAGAACTAATCTTACAGTCCGCGCACAACAGTGTAAGAGTGGTCCTAATTCTCCCACATACTCTCCACGCACCTGTTGTTTCCTGACTTTTTAATGATCAC